TGCATAAGAGTGTGTTCACATATACTATTCTGTAAGTACTCTTTAAAATTATATAAAACAGAGTCATTTCACAGGAACTTATTGTATTTATTATAAGTTGGCTTGATATAAAAACTCTAAACAAGTTTATTCGTTATCTGTAACGATATATAAAATTGCCTGTCAGGTCTAACTTGAAAATATGTTAAATCCAACTGACTACAGAAGCTCCCAAAAGGAAAACAATACTAAAACTTATTCTTCTGCTGTGATTGAACAACAATTTCCTACCAAAGATCAAGCTATTGTACTGCCAGAGTGTAAGTCATTTCATGAATTTATGGAGGGTCTATAGAAATTAATAACCAACAAATCCAAGCACGCAAACTAGTCACTTCAGCAGAAAGACTAATTCTGTCAAACGTTTGTCCCACATTTCGTATGCTTTACTAACCCTAGAAATTGAAAAATTGGGCCTTAAAACCAACCCATGTTATTCGAGTTAAGTGCCGGTTTGCCTCTATGCCTCAAAATAATACCTCTACTATGGAGCTGAATCATGGACATTAAACCGGAATACAATAAATCGACTTAACGCGTTTGAAATGTGGACATTTAGAAGATTGTTAAGGATTCCATGGGTAGATAGAGTCACGAATGCAGAAGTTTTAAAGAGAATAGGCAGCTCAAGGCAATTGTTCAGAGCAGCTGCCTCGAAGGTCAGAATAGCCATGATGATTAGGTCACGTTTATAGTTTTTAGACGATGAATTTTTATCCCACCACCGCTTGCCTCAATACCTGAATCCATATTAAATAATAATGATAACACTAACTATAGGATTTTTTTGTCACACGATTCCTTGGTATGTTTTTCTTGTAAAAGGCAAGTCCATACTGCAGCAAATTGCAAAATAACTCAAGAATCATTTTCTGAAAATTCTAACCAAAACCCCCACACCCCAACATCTTCGCAATCCACACCTCCCCAAATACTTCCAACTAACCCCTCAAAAACTCCAACCGCACAACCAATCATCAATATAGATACAACCCAGTCAGCAGAAAAGGGCTCAAAATGCAGTTTAGAAGAAATGGTCATACCTCCCCCAGCGCAAGACGCTGATCCAGAAAACCCAAGTCTAGACCCGTTTGTTAAACCAAATTATGAACCATCAAAAAAACCAAAAAAAAAGTAAGAAAAATACTCAAACTAACTCACATACTCATGGAATCTGCCAATGCATTCATCTCAGAGCAAAACTATCCATGTATCCGTGATTTTAATCAAATATCCGATCTATTTCAAAACGTTTATAGTGCACAGGATCCAGTCAGCGTCATAAAAAGCTACACTAACGATTTTGAAACTTAAGTGAAAATGCTATACCTCTATTTCAAACAAACGAAGAAGCTCTAACCTGGAAACATTTGATCTTATCTTGTCATAAGCGATTAAATCTTCGAAAAACTCTGGCCAATAAAGAATGGAGCGCGCATCGCCAAACACTTTTCATGTTTATACAGAACATTAATCAGATCAAAATTAGAATGTGGATCTACTGTGTAGTCTACAGCCAGAAAGACAGTGCTAAAAAAAGTCTTCACAATCTCTCTTTACGTATAATATCTGGAGCTTTTTGCACAACACCAATCGAAAGTATTTATTGTGAAGTTGGTGAACCGTCCTTAGAAGAAAGAAGACTTTATTTAAGTGTAGCATACGCCGCAAAAATCAGGTCTAACTCAAAAAACCCTACTATTCAAAATTGTTTTAAGTACAGTTCCCAAATCTCTTCATAAATACGCTAAGAAGGGCCAAACCGTTCTACGCAAGGATTAGAAGCTACTTAAATCAATTAAACTACACGTTCCCACAATGGTTTTCCCCCCAAATCGTCCTCAATTCCCCCATGGCAAATAAAGAACCCTCAGTACCTAACGCGCCTCATTTCTTTCGACAAACATTGAACAAAACCCACAGTTAATCAAATCCGCCTTCAATGATATTCTTTGGAACTTGAATTATACACATAAATACACAGATCATCTACATCAAATGAAGGTACTGGTGTTGCAGTCATAACCCCAACACCGGCAAATAAGTACTTTAGAGTACTGCATTTACTCTGCTGAACTATATGCTCTATACCAGCCACCCTCGCTGTCAACGCATCCAATATTATCAATTGTATATTCTCACAGACTCTCTAAGTTCCGGACAGTCCCCCAATATGTCTCCCCAACTAATCCTTTGGTCATCAAGATAAAACAAGAAGTTTATACCGCTCAACTGAATGAAAAAAAATTGTTATATTCTTCAGATACCATCCCATATTGGAATTCAAGGAAATGAAGAGGCAGACAACGCTACAAAAGAAGATGCAACTAGTGATAGTGCGGATTGTACTGAACATTTACGAGTGCGGACGTGAAAAGGCGGTCAAATGTAAAGTGTGATATATGTGTGAAGAAAAGTGAAACTGCCATCGCCAAGCTACGCGATAGAAAAAAATCGATAAAACCCTGGCCCACATTACCAACAAGTCGGAGAGACCACGTAATATTAACGCGACTTCGACTGGCTCATACGCGATTAACTAATAGCCATGTGTATTTTGTTAATAAAAAAAAACAACGCAGACGGAAAACGTACTTGTAGCATTTGTTTGGGACTTATTTTATACAATATAGGAATTTTAGATCAGTTTGGCAACAGTGGGTAGTTGCAACCTGCAAGACCAATGACTCGCCCGAGTGGCAATGTACAAGGGGAGTCCGGTTGTAGAAAGAGAGATTTTTATGATGGCGGAAGTAACATAGATGTGTAAATTTGTTTTGGTTAATAAAAGTTGTAAATATCAGTTGTGATATTAATTATTGGCAAAGAAAACCAACGATAAGAAAAGTTAGACTTCTTATCGTTATCAGCATTTGATCGGCCATAATTCTAATATTCCAATAATAATTACTTAGAAGTTTCTTCTTCGGAAGATTCTTCTTCACTTGACTCTTCCTCATTCAACTCGTCGTCGCTTTCACTCGAAGAACTGGTACTTGAACCATAGTCACTACTATTGCCACCAGAACTAGCTTCAGATTCCCACATTCCCCACATTCCAGATTCAGAGTTGAATTGTTCTTTTCTTTTCTTGTCCTAAAAATATATCAAAATGCACGAATTATATACAGAAGGTAAATTTATTATCTTTTCGCTTACCGTACTTTTATGAACTTTACCCTCCTCTCCTGATAGTTGCTCTACGTTCCTAACGTCTCCTGTAGGCGGATTAGCAGGAAAAGGAGGCAAATCTTCATATCCATTTGCTCGTTGTTTAATGTAAATGAGAAAGGGAGCCCAATTGTAACTCTTCATGACCTAAAAATTACACATCTGTCATAAAAGTATCCGACCTTGATTCATAACTTAGTAATGCTATATTCTTCGCCACCCAAATAATTAAATACTTCGAAGTAATAGCCAGCCTGATAGTGAGTCAAATATTGATAGTTTCGCAGTTTGGTTTTCGGAAAGCACTTGGAACTAGAGAAGCAATTTTCGCTCTCCAGGTGCTTATACAGCGGTGTAGAGACGTTGATAAGGACGTGTATTTGTGCTTTGTAGATTTTAGAAAAGCATTTGACAATGTCAATCATGAACATTGGATAGGTATTCTGCGAAAGACAGGTATTGACGACAAGGACATTCGAATTGTGGCAAACCTATACTGGGTCAAACAGCAAGAGCAAAAATTGGCAACGAACTCACTGAAAGCGTGCAGATCAAAAGAGGTGTCCGTCTGGGGTGTATATTATCCCCACTCCTATTCAATATGTATTCCGAGGAAATATTTAACAAATGTATGGAAAATGCAAATGAGGCATAAAAATAAACGATGAGTTAACGAACAATATAAGATATGCCGACAACACGGTGATCCTTGCCACTACTATAGACGAATTATAACAAGTAATGGAAAGACTTTATTCAGTTAGTGAGGAATACGGCCTGAGCCTCAAATTCAAGAAGACAAAGTGGATGCTGATAAGGAAAAAGCAACAACCTGCTCGACAATTACGGATAAGTAACATACGAATTGACCATGTAGAATCTTATGTGTACCTTGGCACCAACGTAAATGCAAAATGGAAACAGACCATAGAAATTAAGGCAAGAATAGAACAAGCTAGAGCAGCATTTAGCAATATGAAAAAGCTCCTCATAAGCAAGGATTTGTCTCTTCCCCTAAAACGACGTATAGTTAAATGCTACATTTTTCCGATCTTGCTGTATGGCGTGAGGCCTGGACGCTGACGGAGACGCTAACGAGAAAACTAGAAGCATTCGAAATGTGGGTGTACCGACGCATTCTTCGTATATCCTGGACCGAACATGTCACCAACATAGAGGTACTCCAAAGAATCGGAAAGGAGAAAGAAATCGTGAATACAATTAAACAAAGAAAGCTTGAATATCTAGGCCACATATTGGGACACAATAAGTACCGTCTGCTACAATTGACTGTCCAGGGAAAAATAGACAGTAAGCAAGGGCCAGGCAGGAGAAGACACTCGTGCTTCCAAAATCTGCGGAAGTGGTTCGGGCTCACATCGGTCGAACTATTCAGAAGCGCCGCAAACAAGATCAAAATTGCCATGTTAATAGCCTACGTTCGCAACGGACAGGGCACTTGAAGAAGAAGAAGAAGAAGAATAGCCAGTCTACTTAACAACACGCGCCTATAGCATTTTAGGTCATTGAGGCATTTCTGATCCTGAAAACAGGGCTGAAAATAGGGGTAGAGACCGAACTAAAAATAAATATTCAAGAGACAAAAAAGTTAACACAAGCAAGAGCTAGGGAAAACAGACGCATAGTTAAATGAAAGGACGATATTGAAACTTTAGAATGTTTCACGTATCTAGGAGTTGCATTAAGCACGGATGGAACAGAAGAATCATAAATTCAAAGAAGAATAGTAAAGGGAAGCAAAGGTTATTTTTCACTCGCCCCTGTGCTTAAAACACACACTAAGACCGTCCGCACATGAAGCTACTAAAAAGAAACTAAACTACAGTTCATTCAAATTCGACGTGCAGTAAAAGTAAACAAAACCAGGCTATGCTACGTAAGACTCCATAGGCGTGCGGTTTTGCTTTCATATTTCCTATCAAATTAATAAAACAGTATGTACAATTAAAGATTTTTTACTATGAACAAAGAAGATAAAATATACAATGTTAGTATTATTTTCAAGGAAATTCAAAATAAGCTTCCCTACTGTGAAATAAAAAGAAACTTATGGTTTGACAAAAATAATAAAGCAGCAATTGCAACGTTGTTTTGACACTTAAATGATCGAAATCGAAACATCAAATACACTTATTTTTTAAAGTAAATTGTGTGTTAGTTCGAATCAAAAGTAGTAACTTATTATGTTTTCAGTTTTTATTTGAAAAAACAATAAAATTCACGTGTAATTGTACATATTGTTTTAATAATTTAATACGAAAGAAAAACCGTATGCCAAATTTTGATTGATTGACAAAGAAGGCTTCTGGCTGAGTACAAAATAAACAGCTGATCAATTCCTATCACGCGATATAGAAAATGAAAGGGGAGCTATAACGACTACTTAAGGATAGAAAAAAACAAACAGGGCGACCCAAAAGGGCACTACGAAGCATCTTCGTTATTAATGGATGTATAGTTTCATACGAGATATCATAGTGCACTATGTATGAAAAGGCGTCTGACTGAGTACAAGATAAACAACTGATCGAATCCTCACATGCGACATAGTAAATGAAAGGAAAGGATATAACGAATATATTAAGATAGAAAATCAATTACATATCTTTAATAGATTCGTTATATCGTCCCTTTTCATTTGCTATGTCGCATGTTAGGATTCGATCAGTTGTTTATTTTTTAGTCAACCAGAGGCCTTCTTGAAGTCAATATATGAAAATTTGTTTTATAGTAAATTTATTTTCATCCATAGTGCCCTATGATATCTCGTATGCAACTATACGTCCATTAATAACGAACATGCTGTGTAGTGCCCTTTTGGTAGTCGTGTTGTTTGTTTTTGTCTATCGTAATATAATCTTTATCCCCTTACCTTTCATTTTTCTATGCTGAATGTTAGCATTCAATCAGTTGTTTATTTTGAACTCAGTCAGAGGCCTTCCTTGATTTCAATAAATCAAAAATTTGTCATATAGTAAATCTATTTTCATCCATAGCGTCCTATGATATCTCGTATGTAACTATACGTCCATTAATAACGAAGATGCCGTTTAGTGCCGTTTTGTAGTCATCTTGTTTGTTTTGTCTATCTAATATAATCGTTATCCCCTCCTCTTTCATTTTCTATGTTTGCATGTTAGGATTCAATCAGTTGTTTATTTTGAACTCAACCAGAGGCTTTGCTTGAGTCAATAATCACTATAAATATAATGACTATAAATCATACGGTCGGCCGCAACTTATGCTACGATGTCTACTTCATATTTTCATATGTATTTCATAATACAGGAAAATATAGGTTTATACATCGTTAAAATCATGATTTGAGAGTGCCTTTCGTAACATCCATACTGTTGACGGTTGATTTATACTTACTGCAGCTCTATCTTGTATTTAGTGTAGAAATGTTTAGAAAGGTTTTCGAAGCCCCGCCCATTGTGACTTCAGAGTGAGGTAGTCCATTAATACACAACTGACCGTTTCCACTAAACAGACTCGAGTTTCAAAAACTCGTGACTCGAAAAACAAAACGAACTGTTTCAAAACACGCCAGTCTTTAAAAAGTTTGTGAAAAGTTGTTATTTTGTTTTATTGGACACGAGTTTGTGTTTTGTTTTTATTTTGTCCGTTTGGTGGGAAACCGCCATTAGATATTACATTTAATTTTAAAACAATTTTTACATATTTAATTTTATTAATTCAATGCGTTACAATAATGAATTCACATTATTATGTTGTTGGAAAACCTTATTGTAACATTTATTAATTTGATTTTATCTTTGTTATTCTTCTGATCATAAAATATCAATGATAACATTTATTATAACTATAAATGAATAAATTCAAGCACTATAATTCCCTGACGCACGCCCTGGCTAAAATATTATCACTGGAACAACAGTGGTCCAATTAAGTTATAGCAATTCTTCCGTGTACAAGGACTACTAAATGATATGGTATGCTGTTAATACTTGAGTTTCGTATACGATGTCTATTTATATAGTTTATGAGGTGGATATTATGTACGTTTATACATTGTAAATCATGATTTGGGATTGCTCCTCGTAATATTCATAATGTTGATAATGTGTCTTGGTTTGTTTACTGCTACTGCATCTTTAAGTTAAATTTGGTTTAGTTGGTAACTAGAATTACCAACTGTTTACTTAACTGTGACTCGCACACTACGCTACTGAAAATTAATAGAAACGAGTCACTTCTTGCATGTACGAGTAGCTTTGTTATAGGGTGTTTAAATTTTAACCTTTATATTATATTATTGAGCGCTATTATCGCGTTAAAAATGTCTAGTGACTCAAGTGATGAAGATATTCTTTATTATTATAATAGAAGACGTAAAATGCAGAAAAAAAGGAGGTATAGGGTTCATCCCTACATTGCAAATAATATAAATGGCAGAGCCTTTGTTGCTGCAAAATAATTACAAGAAGGTGATGCTAATTTTTTTTGCATTTTATAGAATGTCAAAAGAATCTTATTTACATTTAGTACAATTGCTTGTACCTGCTATTCAAAAGGAAAATACTCCAATGCGAGAATGTGTTGGGACGGAAGAAAGGATTTTAATAATCCTCAGGTAAGGAGGGAACATTTATTTAATTTATTAACGTATAGTTTTATGGACAGCGATGTTTTTCCACTTCTTGCACTAATTTTATATTAAACGACTGTTCTACCAATTTCGCCATTTCGCGTGTAAACTTTAAAAATATCACAACAAACTAAAACTAGTCCCCAAGCGACTTCTACGTCCACTCTGCTGTCGACTGTTCACTGATGCATTAGAGACCAGTTACTAACTAGTAGCGCTGTGTGCGGATACTCATTAAAATACATGGACAGTAACTAATAAGCAACTGATTGATAACTAAAGTTACCAACTGGTTTCTTTTTAGTAGCTTCATGTGCGGACGGCCTAACTCTCCAAAAACACACTGGAAATAGAAAATCAGGGTCTACAAAACTATTGTCAGACCAATGTATGTTATAGATGCGAGACGTGGGTGACGACAGAAAACACAAAAAGAAAGCTGGAAGTCTTTAAAGAAAAGTCCTAAGAAACATATTAGGCCTATTAACGAAAACAAAGTATGGAGATATAGGAA